TTGTATTTTATTTAGAGACAGGGTCTCACTGAGTTGCTTAGGGCCTCAATCAGTTGCTGAGACAGGCTTTGAACTCTTGATCCTCCTGCCTCAGCCTCCTGAGCCACTGGGATTACAGGTGTGTGCCACTGTACCCAGCTAGATGCAATTTTAATGGTGTGTAACACCAGGGAAAGCACAAAGCTAAAGAAGGAGAAGGAGAAGGAGACAAATGGATGATTATTACTTTAAAGCAAACATAAAAGGGAAGTAACATTGAAACAAACTCAAACTCTCAAGCTAAAGTTTGTGCTGTCTTGAAAACATCAAGATAAGCCTCCACTGGCAGGCCCTAGCAAACACAACAGTTCCTGCAGGACCGGGCAGAGTCAAGGGACACTGGCATTTAAAGTGAAGGGGTTCATATCCTTACTTTGAAACTGGATGTAGTCAAATGTAACAATGAGTTGCTTTGTTTTCCATGCTGTGTAGATGTTTGGAGAACAGAATCATCCCATCAATCATGTGGATGAACATAGGAAGTAATCAGATGCACCTTAAAAGAAATCCTTTCTTCTGAAGTGTTGTATTTGGAAGCTGTCCAAAACTGGTAGAACTATAGAGGGAAATGGAGACCTACCTGGGCATCACATTCCAGAACACAGTAATTTTAAAGGACCTCCACCTACATGATCTCACTCGGTCCTGCATAACTGTGAGGAAAATATTAGCACCCCTGTTTTGTAGATGACAGACAGATTAGACATGTTGCTAATTAGTGACAAAATGGGTCTAGAACTGAAATTATTCTTTCCAAACACAAAGAGGTTCTTCCCATAAATGAAAGCTTGTGGGAGGGGGTAGTGGAGGAAGATGGCAGTGAAAAGTAAAATTAGGCACTGTGCTTAATACTGTAAGGAGTACATGTGGAAACCAAGAGGTAAATAATTTCACGAAAAGTTTGGATACATTTAAAATGTAAGTTTTACCTTCTTGTCCATTTAAGATGGATAGGGCATTATTCAAGTCTTACGTGATACGGTGAAGGCTGTAGGGAATCTCTTGAGGTTGACAAATGGGACAGTTGGGGCTCAAGCACAGCCCTCATGTCAGAGCTGGCACTGGTCACTTGGTTGCAGTCATTCTCTCCTGAGGTTGAGATATTGCTCTAGGCTGAGCGTCAAAGATGGCTAAAGCTGGTCCACCCCTCAGGAGACTAACATCTAATACAGGAGCTAGACATGTCAAGAGCCACTGTGACATATTTTGAGGAGTGTTCTTATTAAAGGAAAAGGGAAGGATGTCTGGAGCCAGTCAAACAAGGAAGATTTTTTTTTAATTGAGGTTATAAAAGTCAGTATTGAGGTCCCATTAGCCCTGTTAGTCCTCTTACGGTCTCCCTGGAAAATGTGGAGTCAGTTATTGGGACAATTTCCAGTAACTTTTGTGAGGGTCCTGCTTTGATAGACTGGCATCTAGTCATTTAGTAATACCAAAATGTGCAGACAAGGATCCAAAGATGCTTGCTTAAAGTTGGCATACACAATTCTTCCTGTACCACCTTATAACAAGCAACCAGGGACATTGCTGCCAAGGTTTATGCTGCCAGTTCTACATCTTTGATTCTATCAATGAAATAAATGCAGAGTGGATACAGAAGTGGTAAAGTAAACTCCTTGTTTGCCTATAAAAGGTCCATTAGTTTCCCCCCTTTTTTTGTACTTGGCATTGAATTTAGGGGCACTGTACCACTGAGCTATATATCTCCAGCCCTTTTCAATTTCATTCTGAAACAGAGTCTTGCTACATTGCTGGGCTGATCTACAATTTGTGATCCTACTGCCTTAGTTTCCCAGGTAGCTGGGATTATAGGCATGCTTCTCTTCTTCTTTGTCTAATGGCCCTCAGATTTTCCTTTCTGAAGGAAGCAATATTTACCCTTCCTTATTAGACAGCACCCCACGCTCCACTAATGGGCTTTGAGTTAATTTTATCCTCAGTCTATGGACCGCTCAGAGACCAACCCCATCAGAACTCCAGGCATTGGAATGTTTGTCCAGTAGGTGATTTGGTTTCACCTTTGCTCTTACTAGAGGCAAGTGATGATATGGCCCAGATGAAGCCAGCCTGAGATCATAGCACCAAGCCAGGGAAGATAGATCCAGGGAATCATAGGACCCAAAATAAAGTATTGTAAATCCTTTGGGCCTCAGTTTTCTGATCTGCAAAATGAGATAAGGAAAAGGCTGAGGTATATAATTAATGCATGTCTCGTGTAATTCCCGATACACAAGAATGAGCTGGTAATTAATGGTAATGACTGTATTGGTGCCCTGACTTTAACACAAAAGGCATGCTTTAATTATGAGTAGTAATTTTTTCATAAACTATTGTGTCAGGCTATATGATGTAATTGGAAGAGGTCTGTACTGGGAATCCAAAGACCTGGCTTTGATCCTGCCAATGAGTGATTTTAGGCAGTTAATTTAGGTTTTCTGGGCCCAGATT